GTTGTGGTTTTCAATTCCACATCATATTGTTCCAGCAAGACAGCCTGATATTTCAGCATTCTGCTGGGGGATAGCCAATGACCCTCCTTTTGTTCTAAAACAGTTACCACCATGTGTGGTACATACACCACCATCTTTTGGCCCATAGTCAATTCTCGAGCTTCCTGAATCAGCAATACCATTGCTGCCACAGCGCGCAAACATCCCGGTCATCCTTTACTGACATTGTCGAGTTGTTTAGAGAAGTATCCTACTGGCCACTTCCAGGATCCCAGACGTTGTGCCAGCACTCCAAGGGCCAGATGTTGCCTCTCATGTACAAACAGCTCCAAAGTTTTGGTTAGATCAGGTAAACCCAAAGCAGGGGCCATCATCAATGCCTTTTTAAGTTCCCTAAATGATTTTTGGCATTTAGGCCATCCTGTAGCAAGGTTCTCCCATTCAAAAGCAAATATGCTTTGACTTTGTATATCCAGAGGTGTGCAAAAAAAGGCATCCTTTAAATCTAGTACAGTAAACCATTTATGTTCCTCTTTAGAGACGTCAGCAAAGTATAAGGATTGGCTACTACTGGATGTATATCTTGAACTATCTGGTTTATAGCTCTTAAATCCTGGACTAGCCGATATTCCTTTCCTCCAGATTTTCTTACCGGTAATATAGGAGTGTTATATTCTGACTCGCATTTTACCAAAAGTCCATATTCCAAAATTTTCATGATTAACCTCTCCAATCCTTCTCGAGTCTCCCATTTAAGAGGATATTGTTTTTGTCTTACCGGTTTGGATCCAGGTTTTAAGGTCACTTTTACCGGTTCTGCCAATTTGGACTGTCCCGGAACTTCATTTGCCCAAACCAAGGGGGTCACTGCGTTTTTCACCTCTTCTGGAATTTGCTCCTCCTTAGGGGAATCCTGTAACATAAACACTCTCGCCTCTATGGCTTTTGAGTCTGGTATTAATAGTTTAGTTTCCCCATTCTTAAAAGTTATTTGTGCCTCTAATTTACTTAGCAAGTCTCGCCCTAATAAAGGCAGAGGGCATTCAGGCATATATAAAAACTGGTGTGTTACCCACTGTTTTCCCAACTTAAATTTCAATGGTTCCAAAAAAGGCCGATTTTCTCTTTGTCCTGTCGCACCAACGACATCTACCGACTGATGACTGCATTTTCCTTTACATGTGTTTAATACCTAATAAGTGGCTCCTGTATCTACTAAAAATTCTGTTTCTTCATTCCCTAGCTTTAATGTAACCAGGGGTTCAGCTAGGGTTGATTCCCCCGGTCCTCTTCATGATTCTTCATCCAATGTCATCAATTTGATTGCGCGAAGAGTCGGATCTAATTCCCCGGCCTTAGGACATTCCCCTCTCCAGTGCCCACGTTCCTTACAAATGGCACATTGGTCCAGTGCTAATTGAAGATTTATCCTTCCCCTTTCTCCAACATTCACCCCTCTCCCTCTTCCTCTACCTCTCCTATCATTCCCAGTCAGAGCCGCTGTTATAAAGGCTAAGAGCCAGTTATATTTATTAAAGCCAAATTTATTTAAGCAAGCAATAAGCAGGCAAGAACAGCGCTGGGCGGCCAGGGGAGCCTTCTGCTCCGCCAAC